GAAATACAAATTATTGTAAACAATTGTTGTCAACTTTTTGATTGCGTAGATACTAGATATATTTATATATATTGTATATATAATAATACTATGATAACGAAGCAGATATGAAACACAATATGAAACAATTGTGCACTTTTTGATGCGAGATACAGATATATTTATATAATATTGTATATATAATAATTTATGATAACGAAGCAGATATGAAACACAATATGAAACAATTGTGCACTTTTTTGATGCGAGATACAGATATATTTATATAATATTTTCAGGGAGGGAGTCAAGTTGAAACAAGAATAACAGTTATTTTTTTTACTTTCATAAAGACAAGTATGGCTCGATATATAAAAAAAATTTGAAACAAGACAATCAAAACTACAAAACTAAGTTACTTAAAATTTAAAAAAATATAATCCATACTTTAGCAAATCGCTGTAATTATATTAGTCTGAGCCAAAGTAAGATTTTTTTATTTTAATTTTAAGTAACTCAATAACTTCAAAACTACAAACTAAGTTACTTAAAATTTAAAAAAAAATAATCCATACTTTAGCAAATCACTGTAATTATATTAAACTGAGCCAAAGTAAGGATTTTTTATTTTAACTTTAAGTAACTCAATAACTACAAAACTAAGTTACTTAAAATTTTAAAACAAAAATCCATACTTTAGCAAATCACTGTAATTATATTAGTCTGAGCCAAAGTAATGATTTTTTATTTTAACTTTAAGTAACTCAATAATTACAAAACTAAGTTACTTAAAATTTTAAAAAATAATCCATACTTTAGCAAATCGCTGTAATTATATTAGTCTGAGCCAAAGTAATGATTTTTTATTTTAACTTTAAGTAACTCAATAACTACAAAACTAAAAAACTAAGTTACTTAAAATTTTAAAAAAAATCCATACTTTAGCAAATCACTGTAATTATATTAGTCTGAGCCAAAGTAATGATTTTTTATTTTAACTTTAAGTAACTCAATAACTACAAAACTACAAACTAAGTTACTTAAAATTTAAAAAAAATCCATACTTTAGCAAATCACTGTAATTATATTAGATTTAGCCAAAGTAAGGATTTTTTATTTTAATTTTAAGTAATTCAATATTTGTAGTTTTGACTTTCTTGTTTCAATACTTTGTGTGGCATTAAAACTTTCCATTACAATAGCTAGCTAGGTTACGTATATGTCGACCCATACTTATCTTTATAAAATTCTAAGTTTTTTTATTATACTTCTTTATTTCCTTTTTATCAGCTATAGTTTTGTGCGCTAGCAATATCAAGCTTGGGGCACGCGTATACCAGATTCGATTTATTACTCCTCAGGATCTCTATCAACCTACCCTCAAATCTGATTATATGTCCAAAGTAGCGCATAGTTGGTTTTATATATATATATATACTAGTATCAATTTCGGTACAAGAAAGGAATCATTGGGACCCCAGGCGGAAGAGTTCTATGACGCTTGCCTGGAAAGACACTTACTTAGATGAAAATTCGTTGAAATAGTGAAATGTTGATTCGGTTCATAAACACGTATATAGCGACTTAGGCGAATTTATAAATACAATAAGCTTTAGTTTTGCTCAGCCAATGGAATACTATGAAATAGTCATTGTTAGTATTCGGAAATGTTAACGGTGGTTTCAAAAGGGCGAATTTTATGGGCGTTATTTTATTTCATCACGATCCTTAGTATTAAGTACTATTGTACTTAATGGTAACCCTATTACGACGGCCATTCTGGATCTTGCTTCCACGACATATCTATAAGTTGGTCATAATTACTATTA